CTTCAAAAAGAGGGCTTAACTGAAACCAGATTTCGCAGGGCACTGCTTAGGAAGTACGGAATGAATCCCCAACCCTGCCTTTGAGGAAAACGCGAAATGCTTCAGTGCACTGGGAACACTGTCCCTTTGGTTGTAAAGAATGATCTGAAGCTACAAGAAGCAAGAAAAGCAAGAACCAATTTAAAAACTTAATCACTTCAATGAAATGTTACATAAAAATGTGACTGTACATAATATAGGTTGCATTCATACAGACAATACTTACATTAGATAGCGGGTGTGTATTTGCTGACACGTTGTGCGGTGTGGTGAAACAGTGTCAGCAGTCTCAAGGATCATGGTGGAAATGATCAAAATACTCACAAAGCAGTGGCAGAGACCACCCTTAACAAGCTCCAATAAAGCCTTTCTGCCACCTCGCACCGTGTATTCCACAAACAGTGTCCCAGGCATATGAAAGAAACTCCTTCCTCCCCCCACTTTAGAAGGCTTTCAGGCTATTTCTGCTATTCTCCTGAAGGGCTAGGCTCAGTGGTCTTCACCACAAGCCTGTTTCCGGACCATTAAAATCAATGGGAGCTTTCCAGTGCTCTTAAATAGAAGCAAAATACACTGTCAACAAAATGGATTAAAACAGGAGTACAAGACAAATTGTTCAGAGATTAGCATCTCTAAAAATTTCATAATTTTGAACTTCATCTCTGAGGTCAATCAAGAGCTCAAAGAAGAACCGAGGTTACACAGAGCTCTCCCCCATTATACTGGAAGAAAAGGGCCTGCTGATCAAATAAACAATTTACAGTCGCTTCTAAAGATTTTGTTTTTCCTGTAGTTCCCTAAAGAAGATTGAGGGCTGGGACTAGGTAGAGCAGAGAATAACAAAGTACCACTTTATGCTAGTCCTGCTTTACACAGGATTTGAGGAGGGGTGTATAAAAGGGCCAATAACTGTTGTAGCTACAGCCAGCTCAACTGGTGATAAAGCTAATGCTGTGAGCTCCTAAAAGTGTGACTGGAAACCAGGAGGGTACCTGTGCTGAGAGGACTAATTTCACCATTGGAACTGCAATATCATCTCCATTGGCACTGCAGTATCATCTCATGCTCTTTAGGTGCCCACTTCCAGCCAAGTCGTCATTGCAGCTCCACGCAGACCCCCTTATTCTCCATGTGCCAAACCAGAGGCTCCTGATCCTGCCATTCACCACCGAAGGTCTCTGAGGGGAACCTGGAGGCCTTATTCCTGAGCCGCATCAAGGGGTTACAGGGAGATGCCTGCTTTTACATTCCCAAGGTGGGGAGGGGCAGAGAAGGTGCCAAAGAAGGCGCATGGCCCTTGTCATCTACTGGGCTTTTCTGCTACTGTGCAAAAGGCACAGCATTTTTGATCTATGGATCAAAAAAGGGGTTGGCCGTGCCCTTTTGTGGATATAGGAAAGAGGCTGGCCCAAACTCACTGCCCTGCGCAGAGAGAGCGTCATGTGTAGAGCTTGCGAGCGGAGCGTATTGCTTCCCCACACAGCGCAGCAGACTGGCCACAGGGAGGTGCAGGCAAATCATTTTTCCCTCCCCAGTCCAGAGGAATGTAGCAGGCTGCTAGACTGCCTTCCCCCAACCATAAGTGCAAACAGTCTCGATTAAGGTCACCATGTCCAATTAGAGTTGTGGAAGAAGGTAACAAAAATTAAAAAAGAAAGCTGGTTAATGTTAACAAGAGAGGGTGATCAATGGAGAATAGAGAAGGACAGTGCTGAAAGAGACCGTGATGGTACAGAAACAGTGGTTGAGGTAGGCAAGCGTGGAAAAGGGGAATACTGGCCCAACGGTAAGAAATAGCAGATACTACCCTTAACTTTCAAAACATTCCCAGCTTTACTGTAGCATGCCACAGGGAAACGTGCAAAACGCTTAGGCCACCATGTCTGTAGAAGCACCTTCTACTAAAACGACCAGACTTCTTTCAGCTCCCTCTGGCAAAGGATTGTCCCTACTGCCTTGTATAGCTTTTCTGTAACATCTGGATTTTTTCTAAAGTTTTTCTGCAACTGACTTGCACAAATCTGGCAGAGTCAACAGCAACAGTCAAGCCATTTGGTGACTGCTGCTTGCTCTGCTTACCCCTCCTAGCTGTCTACATTTTGTACGCTCCTGTGTTCAATTTTCTCTTTTTTATACCTTTTGTGCCTAATTATTCTTGACAAGTCATGCATTTCTGTTACTTCTTCCTCTCTGAGCGAGGCTGGCCTAACAATTAGTCCCTCACAGAGGTTGTTAACTTTCATATTAGGCTGTTGTGGATGGATTAGAGCTAATGTATGAAAGTATACGCAAGAAAACATTCCAAAGTAAACACAGTAGTACTAGAGTACTAGAAAGATGTTAGAACCAAGGGATATTTTCTCCTCTTAAAGAATTTCCCATTTTTATCTTGTTCAAACTCTCACAGGACAGCAAAAGTAGATGTATCCTCTAAAAGTTGGTGTGGACAATACTCATGAAAAATATGTAAAATTCTGTGAGGACAGAAGCTGTTGTATAGTGCTGCTTTCATTGTACCAGACTCCTGTGAAATGGACCTCCCACAGGACCATTCCTCCTCCAGCTCGCCCTGTCTCATTAACATTATAGCTGTGAGTGTAACAGAGGGACTGACGGGCAAAGTTCACCTCAGTGTCCTTTTTCTTTTTCATGGAGACTACATGTCTGTCCAGCTCTTAGTAAAGTAAGCCTCAGGCTTCAAAGCACCACAGTAAAACAAATTATATATATATAGTGATATTTATAAAATAGGAATGCTGAATACTAAGAAACGCCTTTGGGCAGGCCAACTCTCTGTCCCAATATGCAGATTAAGCGAGTGTGATTCTCTATATATTTTAACCTTTCACAATTAGTCTTTCTACTAAAAGCCCTATCTTTTGACAAAAATCTCCTGCTGATTGCCATTATGGGGCTTTCCTGTCTAGTCATCCCATCACCTTCTCTCTGTCCTTGAATATAGCCTTCAGATGGTACTACTTCCAGTTTCAGTAGCTACGAAGGTGTGGATGCAGCCTTAGCTTTCTGTGCACTCAGAAAACAAGAACAATGAATTGAGATAATTTAACACTAAACTAATAAATGGTTTCCAGACAATCCTGATTTTGCTAATCTGCTCCATAAGTGATCAAGGAGGAACACGCTGAACAGGCTGGGATGTGCATACTTGATTTTCCATGTTTAGCCACATGCCATGTTCTCTCTCTTTGGTCACTGCCAGACTTGAAATGATTTTTCTCATTAGTGCCTTAGACAAACAAAGTGGATTAAATAGCAAACATCAGGTTTCTCTTGTCACTCAACATAAATCAAAAGGACTTCAGCAGTGTAGGACTTCTTCCCCTGCAGCTACCAGTATAGAAGCACTGGTGACTAAAGCTAATGGATTAGGTTGCTCTTAAAGGATCTGCTTTCAATAGAAGTTCAAACTAAAATTCTCCTTTTTTCATGCGGTTAGTCCAAAAAATGTAGAATGTAAGAAATTAGAAGTTTAAAAGACACAAAAGAGCAGCAAGAGTATGGGAAAATAACCATGGAGATAGGACTTGATATCTCAGCTTTAGTAATGAGACAGAAAACTTTTTAATCAATTCATTGAAAAAAAATCAGTTCAAAACAAACGGTTTATAATCTTGGGCTGCCTTCATGAGCTGAGCTGGGATTATAAGAAGGCAACAACTGTCAATTATAATGAATGTGATAGATAAATGTAATTTTTTTTTATACAGCCTTTACCTGTGCAGCAGTTTAGTTGCCTGCATCTCCACACATATGCACATAATCAGCATAGAGAAACAATGACAGCTAACAGAACTGGATGTGAAACTACTCCTCACTTGGAAGTACAACCTATTTAATTTTGGATTTTGTGCTAGGGCAATAAAATTGCTAATATGCACAAGCTTTTTTGTTCTTTAAAGTTTTCCAATCAACACAGAAGAATAAAGAGCCAGAAAAACAGCAGATATTAAACCAGGAAATACAGTCACTTTAGCTCTTGTGCCATCTGCTTGAAGCTGGCACTGAGCTGAGCTCAGGAAACATAACGAACGATTTAACTCCTGGCTTTTTTCAGACGTCTGTCACTAAACAGTGGTCTCCTCAAAATTATTTATCCTTTGAACTTTCCTTAAGTACTTTTCTCAGAGCCTTTTTTTTTAACTTTTTGGATTGATTTTGTGCAGTTTGGTATAAGCATGCAATATTTCATGTTGAAAAACTGAGGTTGAGTGCTTGTTCTTCACCTAAGTCAGGAGCCGTTTCTGTTCTGTGACTTAGAGAACAAATTACTCCTGCAATGAGGAGAAAAACTTAAAAAAAAAAAAAAAAGGAAGGAGCGTATGCACCTGTTACGTAAAAACTGTAGATACAGCCCATTGCAGACAGGCTGTGTTTTATAAAGCATGAAAATAATTTCTTCCTGGGGAACACAGATCTTGCCTGAGGCATGCTTCTTCAAAATTATGAAAAATAATGCAAATTTTTTGTGAATTTTTAAGCCTACATGTGTAGGGCATGGCTAGCTGCCTACCGCCTGTATGGCAATATTCTAATGTGCGGTTTTCCTAGTCCTGTCCTCCTGCTGTGATAAGCAGCGCCCCATCCTTCATGAGAACCAGCTTGCTGGGTTCACATAGCTGAGCAAGCCAGTCCAAAACTTAGCCAATACAAATAACATCTGATCTCTCAAAAGCTGCCAATGGATGAACCCAAAATGAGCATAAGTAATTCAAAACAAATTCATTTTTAAATTGAAGAGCACTCTACAGGAGTATTTTATGCTGTTCTTCCAGCCCTAGATGTGAACAGTAATGTACCAATAATGTGAGTGGCCTGATGTTTACAAATGGTTTACATGGGTTTAGTGTCATTTAAACACAGAAAATACCAGAACATGCCATTTTTTAACCAAAAAGTTTTGGTATATTGAGGATATTCTTTGCACTGGCTCAGGTACTCACCTCTCACGCTCCTGCTCCAAGAGGTTGGTAAAGTCATCACTCTTGTTCATGTAATCTGTATGTTTATGTTTCTCATTTTCTAGCTCATAAACTGTGCGGCGATGGCACTTCTCTGCCAAGAGGAGTTGTTCCAGCATGCGTCGATATGTCTCCTTCTGCTTTTCTTCAAGTCTGTCTAGCTGGATTGTAGAAAAGGAGAATCGACTGTTTTAAAGGTCTCTTTGCTTACTTTGTCTGATTTATTAACCAACAGAGTTGCAAGACCCATAATTTTGTCTTGGGCTTTACATAAAGCAGTGGCTTGAAAAATAATGACTGTCCTGTAAAAGTAATGATTTCTTTTGGCAGTGTGTTTGCGATAAACATGTGCATAGTTCTCATACACAAAGGACAGAACTTTGCATAGTTTAAGATAACAAATATTGCTGCAGTGCAGAATATTTCCTGTGGTGAGGTGCTGTACTCGGTTTCCTTATTTCACAGAGGAAAAGCTGTAGCTTGGCACCTCACATTAGACAGGAATAAGCCAATTAACCTATACCTGCAAGGTGCTCAGCAAATCCCAGGCGGGACCCTAGGGAAGCTGGAAACAACCAAAGATACACAGAGGATTAGATGAACAGAGACTGGACCTTACTCTGAAGATTTTGATGTTTCGTGCTAGACTGCTGGAGCCTGAATTCAAGCACCTGAATGGGGACTTAGATATCTAAATGCGGAATTTTAAGGTGTAAGCTCAAGCCTGGAATTTGAACTATGCATCTGCAACACAGTCATCTCCCTAGGACTGCGGAGATACAAAGTGTAAACTATTTAGATTTATCTGGATTCCGTTTTACATTTCCAGCTACAATTTGTTATAAGCCTTAGGGTTTTCCCCTGAGCCTGTTTTTGACAGAAACTTCTCCTTTTTATTAGTAGTACTTTACCGCTTTGTCTTGTATATCTTCATTAACTTACTATATCATCTGTCTTTCAAACAAACACTAAAGTCAGTGAGGTGCACCTAAAAAGTTGCCAGGACACACCAAAACCACCAGAGCTATTCAAGTAGCTCCTTTCATGGTTTCTTGGGAGCAGATGATGGAAACTCAATTTCTCACTGCAGCTGAAAGCGCCTTCAGTGCTGGCACTGCTCTGTTTGCCTGCTCCCGGCACCGGCATGGTCAGAGCCTGCTTTGGCCACCCATAGGCCCGGCTGCGCTACACAGCTGCTGCTTTGCAGAGGCTGCGTCTCTGCACACCGAGGAAAATAGGAAAGCAGGAGGGCTGCACCCATTTTGAAGCAGAAGTTAAATGTCAGAGTCAAAAAAGCCGTGGCATTTTGGAAAGGCGATAAGCTTGGATTCAGCCTTGATCTTTTGCACTTGGGAAATTTTCCCTCTGTTGTATTTTAGCTCCAACATATCCCTTGTAGACCTTTACAAGATAAAAGTTTTGCACTGAGGTCTCCATCTAATTATCAGCTTCTTTAGACAAAAGCCTTGCTAAGGTCTTTTAATTTCATTAGTCAGTTTTTCATGTGCACGCTCAAATGCTGCTGTTTGCTTTCCTTATTTACTATTATCCCCAAAATACCAGAAGATATTGCAACAGGAGTACACAGATATCCTGTGATAGACAATTCCTGGTGAAAAATGCAGTGTTCTAAACAGAGCAACTATGAATAGCTGGACATACGCTACAGAGTATTTATTATATGTTTATTATATGCTTTTTCTCCATGCCCTGAACTGTTACGAAACCAGGAACAAGTGCAATGCTTGCTTCGTTTGGATTTCATGCTGGCCTCAGGCATTCCTGGATGTACTCTGTATTCATTTATTGCTTAGATTTTAAACCAAGAGATCAACCAAGAGGTCTTCTTTAGGCCCTGAACTGACTTCACAGTTCTGGAGTGTTTCAGGCTTAAGTGACTTAAAATGAGTATTGATTTATGACAGTCAAAAATAACAGTAAGTAAATACAGACAGTAAATACAGTCAAAATCAATCTCTGATAATCTTCTCTTCCTAACTACTCATATGATAGTGCTCTAGCAGGCCAAGAAAGTCAAAAAGCACTTACCAGTGCTATAAACACTAGAGATTCAAGCCTATAATTGAATGGAATTTAAAAAACAAGAGAAGAGAAATGTGACACCAGAAGGTTTTGCTCTTGCCTGACTGCAGCAATCCTAAGTAGCGTATGAGATCTTTATTGTTTAAGTTCAGACCCAATGATTCTGATTAGATTTTTTTCCTGCAGGTTGAGTGAACACAAATATTCAAATTGTCTTTAACTTGTTGTTGTTTGTGGAAGAGTTGTAAAATCCCCTTGCGCGCTTTGCACAAATGCAAAGTAGGTGGAGTTTCACTTCTGATCAGGATTGCCCCATACAGACTTGCTGACGTAAATCAAGAACTCATTACCTCTGAGATTGGTTTCTCATAGACATCTTCTCCTATTGATTTTTCTTGGGCAAGGATAGCATCCCTGTGTAGCACTCGAAGCACATTCTCTGGAGCTGCAGATCCGTAATGAGCTTCTAAAACTTCAGGTTTGGTTTTCTCTGTCTTCAGCATGTGGATCACATCTTCCCTTGCCTGTAAAATTGGAAATCACTACCATAAGCCAACTTGTAACCAATAGGGAAAATAGAGGCATTTGAGATGTACAGAGTGCATACGCAAAAGTAAAACAAATTAGAAGAATGTCAGGCTGCCAATTCAAGTACAAAAACACTGGGAGATATCTGAGTAAACATTATCTGTGCAAACTGAATGTGATCCTTGTAGGCATTAATTGTTCTGTTCCTGCCTTTCGTTCCATACGAGTCTATGAGTTTTTATTTGAGTTGGAACTAGAGCCAGGGAACATCGTTACTCCTCATATACTTCTTTGTCTTATTCCCTGTCCATGCAGTTCACTGACTGAGGTAGGTGAGAAGATGAATAAAACAAGCAGCACAAACAAGCTGAATTAATATTTCTCAGGCAGCCTCAAGTCAAGTTTTTCTAGTTGTCCACTTCTTGACTTTGTGACCGCATGCTCTCTTCAAGTATCATTTTAAATAACATCTTCTACTTTTTGTTAGTTTGTTTAAAGAGAACCCTAAAAATGTTGTCGAAACCAGCTAACTAACATAGCTGGTGGCAGATACAACGAGGCTGAACAAATCCTTCCAAAAGCAGAGGATGGCCCTTAAGCCTTCAGGCTTCCAGAGCATCTGGAAGCAGGGGTGGACCGGTGGTTGGGGCAGGATCACGGACCCCAGCTTCTGCTCCCGGCTCTAGGAGGGGAACCTCGTCCTTACGGGCAGCACGACCAGGAATCTGGGCCTGATAAGACTGCTCTGCAAGGCCACCTGGCCATAAATTAGAGGCATTTTAGAGCCGTACTGCAGAAAAACACTGAATCCTGAGCTCTGTTTCCAATGGTATTTGCCAACATCTGTTAGGCCATCTGTAAAGTGGAGGAATGACACTTGCTTGTCCTTCAAGGCACGTTTATAAGGCCGTGCTCAGTAGACGGGTTGTGCAAGGAAGAAGCTATCGGCGGGCAAAGGACAACTTCCTGGTTACACCAGGGCTCCTGGAAGGGCTCTCGCCCACCTGTTTGAAGGGGTGGGAGGCAGAAGAGTATGGGCACCGGTTTTAATCTTGCTTTAACCTCTGTGCACTTGGAAAGCAAATTCAGGGCTAATGAAATGTTCAGATATTTTAGGAAAAAGCTCTTATAAATTCTGCCCTTATGTAAGCAATGTCTGTTTAGGATTTACGAACTGACCAAAGCTTCATGTTTTTCCACAGGGTTGATAATGGCACTCTATGACCCCTATAGCAAATCTTCAGTCTGTTCGCCACATCACAGAGGCACTACACCTCTACAAAACCACCTGCTTTTCAAATGAGTAAGGAAATAATCTCAGGAAATGTCAAAGACACTTTAATCTTTTTTTAAAATAAAATAAAGCAACATGAGAATAAAATAAAAAATGAGTTTGCGGCGAAGCTTATGCCATGCAGTTGAGAACTGGCTGAATTATAAGCAGCTACCTATGGGGGCTTACTCTGTACAACATTTTGTAACCTTAAGTAAGCTTTATACATAGCTCTGTCTGCAAGATACAAAATACAGGCAGGAATGGTATTAATATTTTTTTAGCATGAGCTTGGGAAGGGTGCATCACTCATGGATGTCAAAATCACAAATTAATTATGTAGGTTAGTCTCAAGGTGTGCTAAGAGAACCTGCACACCTCACTACATCATGTCCTGGGAATATGCTGCTCTCAATTCAGGAAAAATGTTATTTTGGGAAAGTTTTAGACAGTTTCAAGAACATATCATTTTTACATCCCTCTACAAATAACAGTTATCTTAGTGTCTTAGTTACTATGAGGCCAATGTTTCTATACTAAAGGAAAAGCCCTTAAAAAGTCTAATAAAATAGCATGGGAGTTTTCTGGTACTTATAAAAATCATGGTTTTATGACCTGTTATCTTAGGCCCTTTTAGGAGAACACTTGTTTTACTGAGCAATGTCATCAGGCTTCTCCTTCTGGGCCTCCAGGAACTTACTTTAAAGCCGTCTTGCCTCAAGACCCCATGTCCCCGGGGGCCAGTGTGGGCCCGTTGTCTCTGCTCCCCCTCTCCAGCCCCATCTCCACCTCACTGTAGCATGGTGGCTGGTGAAATCTTGTGGGGGCAGAAAGGGCAAGTTTGACCCCTCCCACCTCCCCTCACTTAGGGGACTGAGAATGGGGTTTTCTCCTCCTGGGTGACTAAACACCCCAACCGTGAGACACTTTGCAACACGCAGAGCGTAGGAAACCTCTGCATCCCGAATCAATCACTGTGACCAGGAGGCAACTTTTTAGGGGTTGCAATGACTAAGTTAGATTGCTAAAATAAATGGTCAAACTTTGTTGTTGGCACTTATGCAGAATTCACTAAAGCATACCTTTGAGGATCTTGCCCTCAGTGTCCAGACTGTATCTGTGTCCTGCTGTGATGAATAAAGTCAGTGTCCCCTGTGTGCCACGCAGGAGGGGCCCTGGCGCTTGGGTAGAGCCCTCTGCACAGTGGTACCCAAATCAGCAGGACAAGGAGCAGCCCCTTCTGTCCCGTGCATGGTGTGTCACAACTGCAACACGCTGAAACCATTATTTGTTTTGTTCCTGAGCACATTTTAAGCCCTGTACATGCCATTTCTCAGGGATAGATCTCAGCCCTTAAGCTGTTTTGGGAAGGAAGATAAACTCTGGTGAAGCTGTTGTGCTTTGCATGGCATAATTAAACATTGAGGGGGCTGGGAAAAGGGAATAGAGGGAGCTCAGACTTGGTTATTTAATGCTATGACTCGGGAGAGTGAAGAGTTGGACTCCAATCCCTGCAACGATTATTTAATATAAGAATAAATGATAAAGGGACCAAACTCTGTTCTTCTCTATGAGTGCCCTAACCCCTGTTCGGTTAAGCACATGCTTACTTCATTTCCAGCCTGGTTAGTCTGTAATCATTGCAGATTCAAATGGAGCAACTGTAGCAGGAGGAAAGGAGAGAGTCACTGAAATCACCAATCATTTGACCATTAAGGAAGGCTGCAGGAAGGTGTGGGTTCAGCTCTCACGGGACCGCAGTGGGAGCTGAGCAGGGACGCTGGCAACGCTCAACAGAGGAGCTGACACCCCGAATGGGGAAGGAGGGGACGTCCAACCTCGGTTCAGAGCTCTGAGGGAAACCTTTGTTCATTGACTCATCTTTAAAAGAAAGCTCTGACACCCTTAACTCCAGAAGAAAGGCAGGACTGGGAGCCCTGACCAGAGGCACCCCTCCCTGCAGCCCAAGGAAAAGCTTCCCAGCCCTGGGGAGCCGAGGTGGCACCAGTCCCGTGGCCAGGCAGCTCCCACTGGCGTCCCCCTTCCCGGGCACCTTGTGCTCAGCCCACATGGGGGATCTGTGTGCTGTTAGCGTGGCGAGGTGCCTTCTGCCTTTCCTGGACTTGGCTCGTTGTTCGTATCGTTATCTTTTCAAGGGTATCGGCTAATTCACTGAGTGCTCTGTTTCCATGGACTTATGATAACAGTTTGTGAAAAGCAAACTAACAAACAGACACTCCACATCAGGTTGCTAGGAAGCACTGGAGCAAAAAAAGGGCCTCATGCTAATAATAAACTGAAGAGAAATTTGCTTTTATTTGGTCAGAGAGAAGCCCAGGCATAGAAACATTCTGAAATGCAGCTACCCTATGCCAGAGTGGATTCATGGGCACCCGGGTGACACCACAACTTCCCATCAGCCTCAGGATTTATAGACTTCGATTGGTCTCTCTGAAACTCCTCAGGGTACACGTAGAGGGAATATGCTGAAACAGCAGGCTTATATAATTCATGAATTCATGTTTCCTTCACATGACTAATTTTCCACTGGAATAACTGGACGAGAACTGACATGAAGATGTTTTCTTTCAATGTACAGTGAACAACTATCATTATGTTAAACCTCAGGATACAGACCATTTTCAGATAACAAGTTCGAATAGTCCTGTGGAGGAACACTTGGGCCACATCAACACACGCACTTGGAAAGAGGTACAAGAGGCACAAAGTGGGGCGTTCTTAGCTAAGAAGAAGGAGCCGTACTGGCAAACTGTTTCCACTGATAGACATCTACTTTAGGTGGTTCCTTTGTCTCAAACTACAATGCCATTTAGCATAAAGCATACAACAGAAGATAAGCCCAAGGAAGAGATTTCAAACTGGAAGTAAACTTGGATATAAATCACAGATTGAAGCTGTTAGCTGTTTTGGTAGAAGAATAACGGTGTTTTGGCACAGAGGGCCATCTCTGAATTCCACTTTTTTTCTGATGAGAGAGACTATTTATTCAGACGTAAGATGACCATATAGCTGACCATATAGCTGACCAGAGTAAGATGACCAGCAATAGCTTTTAACAAATGAAAATTATTTATGGAAGTCCAGAAGACTGTAATTACTCAGAGAAGCTCTTTAAAGTCAAGATACGGATTTTAGAAAGCATATGCATTTTCCTTTATATAAATTGTTGTGCCTTTTTAGTTTTTTCCTAACTTAAACTGTTCTACAGAAATTTCTAAGTGAACCTTCTATCTGTAATATTCAGTTTGTTGGTTCCTGGAAAATAAGCACATTTTTCTGTTAATACAATGTCCTCAAATAACTGATTCTCTAAATAGTAGCAGTGATTAAGGCAGATTAATGTACAGGTCACTCAGAAATACTCTCAAGGTGAAAAACACAAAAGGACTGATATAATGAAAGGTATTACTCCACAGGCATTTTCTCTAGGAGCAAAGCCTGCTTAGGAGACTCCCTGTCAGTGGAGTTGCTTCAACTGTCTCTGCTGAGAAATTGTAATGTCCAACTGTATCTAAGTCTCATTCACTGGAGGTGCCAAAATCTAGAGGTTTATGACCTGAGATCTCTAGTAGGTCCATGGAGGGGCTGAAGCTCCATAAAACCCTGCTGTCGCACACAGCTTCCCACTCTCTCCTTTCCATCTCCTCTACGGGCTAGTGATTAACGCACTTACTTAAGATGAGGGATCTGAGTTCAAGATCT